TATTTTAATTTATATGTTATTCTTAAAATTACATGTTGTTTGATATTTTTCTACCACCTTCTTTGTTTCTTCTTCAAAGTCTCTAACCACCTCTTTGTTATATCAAATTGAGAAATATTCAATCTTTCATCAATCATATCTATTAGAACTTCTTTAGAATGGTTTTATCATATTCTGATTTATATACTTTAAATAAGTTATTCAAAGATTATACCCATACTGTTTTAATGACTTGTGAAGTTCATACATGCATATGTCATGTTATTGGCTGACAATGATAGTCTAACTTCAAGTTCTTCATATTTACCGTTATAATAATTGTTAAATCAAACAAGAACAACATCTTCAAATTCTTTTACTCAACTTTTTAACAAGTAAACATGATAAATATCAACTTAATATGTATAATAAACTATTTTGTTGTTTTCTTTTGTTACTCATTAATTTCTTTGTTTTTCAAATCAAAATTGATTAGTGTGTAACTTCATAATCAACACAACCATGTTTAATAATACTCTGATTTATATATCATTCTCAAAGTATTTTATTTTTATGTGTCATTCTCTTTATTCATTGAGTGTTTACCAACAAAACTGTGTTATAATCCACTTTCATTCTCTCTTTTGTAAATTCAAATATTCTAACTTATTCAGTCAAATTGACATTATCATATGGTGATATTATTTTCTCAACTGTTTGTGAAAGTTATATTGAATAATCTCCAATTTTGTTAATATGAGTTTAATTGTATAATCATTTGAATCAAATAAACAATATAAGCGTTTATTTATTCAGAGAACAATACCTCTCTCATTGTTTTTTTTTTCACATGAAAGTATTTGTCATGAATGTCTTCGGTGTTTTTATATTAAGTAAAATCTTATTTATAATAACAGTATTAATGGTGTTCATTCTTTTTATTTTGAATGTTAATATTTCATTTAACTCTTGAAAATATTATATTCTTAAGTTTTGTCTTATTGCCTTTCTCTGTATTATTTTAATAATACATTGATTTCTCTGTTTGAACATGTTTCATTAACTATATTATAATCAATTGTTATGTTTCTGCGTTTTCCTATATAATAGTCAATGGTTGGTTTAAATATTCAATTGATAATGGTTAACCATCTAATAGTCCAAATGTTATTATTAATTTATCACCTGTAAATTATGTATGTGAACATTTCATTCTCATACAGTTTTTTTCCAAAGTTATGAATAATATTCAATTGAACTTCTAACTTCCCCATTTATTGTTTTAGTTGCAATATTCTGACTATCAACCATTTCTTTTTTTCATTAATTGAAAAACCACCAACACTATTTCTTTTGATTACGTATATTTTCTTATTATTATAAATTGTCATTGAAAAGGTAAGAAACTAATTGAAAATGGTTAATTCAGCATTTGGTTTGTTAAATTCTTCATTAACAATAAGTTTTAAATGAAAATATCTTATTAAAATAATAAAGCTTTTAATTTGAGAATAAAATTTATACATATTTATGGTTTGTGTATTTATTTGATTGAGTTGTTTATCAATATTCACTTATTACCATAATTGAAAAAGGATTATGATGTATCATACTCTTTAATGTATATTCATAAACATATACATTTAAATAGTATTTTAATTCACTAACAATATCAACACTTTATTCTTTTGTTATTGTATTTAATGATTAATGTTCACTTTCTTGTATGTTTTGAATGTTTATATTTGTTTCTTTACAAGACTCAAAAACAATTTTTAACAGCAAAGATAATAGAATTTGTTATATATTTGCATTAAAAAAGAATCAAATCAAAAGTGAAAAGAACAAAAATTAATTTCTGTTTTATTTCTCCTGTGAAAAACAAAATAACACAATTCAAAACAATCAATTTGCTTTCTTCGGTTCATATTTCTTAAGTTTTGGTCCTTCTTCCATAATTTTTAGTTGTTCTTCAAATGGTAAGGATCTCATAATTTTCTTAGTAACGTGATATGAATTTTCTGCTTCTTCAAATAACTTCTTTTTTTCTCTTTCAAGTCTTTCCAATTTTTGTTCATGATTTTCATTAAGTTTTGGTTTGGATGATTGTTTATATTTTGAAGAGTCTTTAGTTTTAGGTAATTCTAAATTATGATCTTTTCTAAGTTCTCTTGATAATCTCATTCTGTCCCATTCATATCCTGTCAAATCAGTCATTGGGTTGTAGAACTTATTTATTTTGACAGGTATCCAACCCTTTAAGAATACAATATCACTTGGTACTAATTTACTTTCAAATGTCGCTCTAAAAACACCTGGATCTTTAGGAACTGCTTTTTTTATTTGACCTCGAATACCACTTACAGTTTGTAATTTTGCTCCAATAAATTTAGAGACTTCAATTCTACTATTAAACATTCCTTTAATAAAGGATGTGTTCTTTTTAATTTCTTTTGGTTGTCCAACTAATTTTAATTTTTTATAAATTTCACATGCTTTATCTACATTAGAGATATTTCCTGTTAGACATGGTCGATAATATGGAGTCTCTTCTCCAGTTTCAAAAGCAATAATACCTGAATTACTTGGGCATGCTGGACCATAAAAAGTCATTAAACAAAATACTCCTTTTGGTGTGTATTTTAACATCCTTTGTTTTCCTTTAAGATCTTCCATTGAAAAAGTTGCAATTGTTTGGTATCTTCTCCATCCTACACTAACAACAATAGGTTCTTTTGATTTAACTAACTTAGGGAACCATCTATGTTTTAGAACTAATGCTTGCATTACTGTTAATTGTTCTTCTGATCTTAAAACACCTCCAACTAATAAAATTCTCTTTGGATTAAATTGTCTAATAAACCCAGCAGGAACATTTTCTATTACAATTCTAACATATGTTCCTGCAATTGCACCTTCAACTTGAATTCTTGTAGCACTGTCTAATTCAGCAAATGCTTCATGATTCATTTTATTTTGTTCTTGCATTTGTTTTTGAACTTTTTGCATATACGTTTCTTCATGATCCCAGAATGGATTAGTATTTGTTTCTTCTTCACCTTCTTGTTGTTCTTTCTTCTCTTTAGATATTTTTTTCTTTTTTTCTTCTTGAATTTTAACTTCACCATTTTCAATTTTAATTAAATCATCTAAATGATCATCATCTTCGCTCATTTCTTCTTTAACATCCATATCAACTATCATATCATCAACTATCCTCATAGACTTACTAACAAAGTGTTTTGCAATATTTTCATCTACTTCATTCTTTATTAAACTATCTAATACATTATCTTCCCAATACACCTTACTATTATCTTCTAAGTCTAATTCGTTATTACTATGTTCTGCTACAGGTCTAAGTAAATCATCATCGTCATCACTTTCTTCTTCTTTAACTGAAACTTCTTCATAAATTTCTTTCATTAAATCTCTTCTTTTTTTTAATTTTATCATTCCCCATTTCTTTTTTTCGTCTTCAGCGTCCAACCCTTCTTCAGCATATTCAATTTCTCCAGCCTCTTCTTTTTCTTCTTCCATTTTTTCTGTAGGAATTTCTTCTTCATTTTCTTCGCTCATATCATTTTTCTCTTCATCATCCTCATTATCATTAGAATCATCCCCTTCTTCAATCTCATCTTTAAATTCAACAGGCCTTCTTGCCTTTCCATCAATAATGTTAATACTTTGATTTAGTTGTGCAGTAATTCCACCAGCTGACTGTACTAATTCTTGAACAGTGCTTTGATCTTCTCTTTCATTTTGTAATGAAGTTGGCATAGTAACATAAACAGCATCTTTGTCATATCTCATACCACCTACATCACACATTGGAGCAAAAACAGTTTGTGTCCTTGCTTTGAGTCGTTTAGCTTCATCACCAAAAGGACATGGATCAGGCTGTTGTTCTATCTCTTTAATTCTATAGTCTCCAAGTCCAGGAATACATACCTTAGCATTAGGTCTCATGTTAGTACCACGAACATAACCATATAAAGCAACCGTTCTATCTACATCAGGGTCTTCTGCAATATCTTGAGGTTCAGTTAAATCTTCAACACGATCAGCAACTAAATAACTATGATTACTTCTCCAAATAATAGGTCTTGTTTTAATAACAGCAAGATGTCTAGCGATAATTTTAATTTCAGTTTTTGGATAACTTCCATGAGTAATACCACTAAGATTAAATAATTTTGCTCCAGCATAAGTTTCTCTCCAAAATCTTTTTTTTAAAGTTTTTTTTGCTTTTTTTGCTAATTTATTATTCTTTACTTTATCTAAATGAGTTAAACATCCAATTACTTTTGGAAATCCTTGTGCCTGTAACATTCCAATGAATTCAAATGTATTCATTTCAAATCCATAACTTGCATCTATTAACATTACTGCTACATCTGCTATTTTTGCACAATCCAACATTCCATTTAAATCATTAGGACATTCAATAAGAGTAATTCTATGATGTTTTCCTGTAATAAGAGTAATAGGTCCATTGACATCTTTTAAATTTTGTTTTGTATAAGTCTTTACTAATGCTTGAATAAATGTTGTTTTACCACATCCTGGAGGTCCACAAACAACAATAACTGTAGGTGGTGGATCTTCAACACTACGATCCATAATAGGAACATGTAACTTTTCTTGTATTCTTGTTTGAGTATATTGATAATGTTGTTTAGCAGCAACTCTTGTTTGTGCAACAAATGCTTTTGGATTATTTCTTTGTGCTTTCTTTTTTTCTCCTTCAGTCATCTTTGCTAATTTTTTGTCTTTCTTCTTCTGTGCACTGACTCCAGCCTTCGCGACTTTATGGGGTCGTTTTTCCTCCATATTCAATATGATTTATCAGGTATTATTAATTTCTAGGGTTTATTATTCTTTTATCATAAAAAATACCATTTTTCCTCAAAAAATTATGTTATTCATTTTGTGTTGAAAATAAAATTGTTTATGATAGTTTGATAGTTTTTTATATTACTAGATTCATTTCATGAAAAAAACTCTTAAATATATATTAAATGGATCTTTCAAGTGACCCAGTATCTTTCTTTACTAGAAAACGGGCAGCACTTTTTGTTGTTGTTGTTTTTATTGGTGCATTGATAATGTTAGATAATTTAGACGTTGTTTCACAAACTACATTTGTTGATGATAACAATCTTCATTCTGGTCAAATCTTTACTTCGTCTGGAAATGAGACTTATTTAGGAATAAAAGATTATGCTCTTTTCCTTCAACAACCAGAAGAGAAAAGAGATGATGTTATTAAGTTAACTATGTCTCGACTTGGATTTGAAGTTCATGATTATCATGATAAATATAATTCCCATGGTATCACTGCTGTGTTAAGACCAAGAAGAACTGATGATAGAAATTGTATTTTATTAATGGGAAGATATTCTCAAAATAATTCATCACCATTAAATTCTAATGTTACCAATATGTTAAATACTCTTGGAACTTTGTTTTCTATTGCTGAGAAGCTTTCATTACAAGAATTTCTTGGAAGAAATTATATGTTCCTCTTTCTTGATGATTCAACTCATATTGGTGTTAATGATTTCTTTAATGAATATCAACAACAACCATTATGTGGTAGAATTATTTCTGGATTTGAATTTGATATTCAGCCAATGGTTGCTGGACCAACAAAGATATCATTAGTTGTTGGTACATATCCTTTTATGTCTAATCAAGATATGGTTAACTCTTATATAAAAAATATTGAAAGAATATTTAGTAATACCGTTGAAATATCTATTACTTCTAAATATGTTAATTCATCTATAGAACAAATGTTATTACATTCAAGTTTAATTAGATATTGTGATAGTGTAGAAGGACCATTACATAATACTGATATGCTTCTTATTCAAACACAATCAAATATAACACAATTAAAATACAGTTTTAGAAATGTAGATTTTATAACAAGTACAACTTCTTTATTAAAGTCATTTAATAACTTATATCAACAACTTCAATATTCTACGTATTTTTATATATTATTAGATACTAAACATTACATAAATTTCAGTGTTTCAATAATACTAACTATCCTTTTTGCTTTAAGTGTTATTAGTGGATTACTTCTTAGTATTTTCCCTCAATTGGTGTATTATGTCTTTAAACCAAAAGACCAAGTTACAAATGAATTAATCATTGTTTCTGATCTTCATTTATCTGATAAATTAGAAATATCAAATATCACGACTCTAAAGATTTGGGGTTTATTTATCACCTTTTCTATTATTTCTTTTGTTTTTTATTTATATTTATTTGGTTGGAATATCATTTCTATTGAAGATACTATTCGTTTCAATCAATTCACTCTTCCTCAACAAATATATCTTATTAGTATGGCTATTTTACCTATTTGTATTTCAATTGTCTTTTCAAAATGTTGTCGTCAATCATTAGCACAACTTCGAATATTAGATGGGTTAAGTGGATTACCGTCTATGTGTATTCTCAGTTTAATGATTTTTGCAAATCAACCACTTGCAATTGTCTTAGCAATTTGTATTGGAGCATCATCTATCATTCCTTTCATCTCTTTACATTGGCGTCCTTCCTTATACAAACTTGGTAAAATAAGTTCTCTTCTTTTCTCTGTAGGACCAGTATTTTATCTCATTTATTACTTTTATAAAGATGTGTCAATTCTTTTCTGTGTTCCTACTATCGCCTCAATCATTATTCTCACTTATATCCCAATCACAATGGCTCATGTCTATGTCATGTTTGCTTTTGAAAATTACTTATCAGATTTGAAGAAACAACAAGACTCTTTACTAAAGAAAATTAACTAAATCGTTGTTTTATATAACATTTTGTTAAACCTCAAAAATCAGAGAAAAACTTAAAAACAAAGAAAATAAACTTAAAAAAGAGCATTAGACGTATGAATAGTGAAAAGGAACAAATACTTCTTCAAATGGTAAATGAAAAGAAGGTATTGTTTTATGACATTTTGTTAAAGAAGTTAGACTGTAAGAGTATCTCAGAAGTTGATAATATCATTATTTCAGCAATGAAGAACAAATTATTTACTGGACACATTGACCATAAACAAAAATGTTTATATGTTTCTTCTGTAAGGATTGAAAAAGTTGATTTAAAAGAAATTCCTCAAATGATTCTTACATTGGAAGGAATGTCTTTACAATGTTCTAAAGGATTGAAATCTCTCAATTAACCATTTCTTTTCTACTTCTTAACTATTTTTATACTTTTCATTAAATGAGGAGACTATTTTTATAATGAAAAGAAACTAATACATAAGAGAAAATAACTAAGAAAGAAAGTAATGTTCAATAATAAAGTATTTTATCAAGGTGAGTCTTACCTGTGTTTGTTAGAAATAGAAAATAAATCATTAATTCTAAAAATGAAAAAAATAAAAAATAAGAATTAATAAAACTAGTAACTGAAAAAGAGAAAAAAGGAGTAATGAATCAAATAATTGAGGTTGGAGTTCGTGTTAGACCTTGTTTCAAAACAGAAGTTGCAGAAAGGTGTTGTTCTGTTGATGAAGAAAAAGAGTCAGTAACAATGAACTCTCCAAATGAAGAATGTTTTTTTGATTTTGTTAAAAACGAAACTTCTCCTCAAAAAGATATGTTTCAACGTGTTGGAAATTCATTAGTCTCTTGTTGTCTAAATGGAAACAATGCGACATTATTTGCTTATGGACAAACAGGAAGTGGTAAAACATACACTGTATTCGGTTTGTTTATTTTTTAATATTTGATTATAAAGAGTCAATAAATAATGGTTAGGTAATTATGTTGCAAAAGAAAGAAAAATTACTCAACCTGGTTTAGTCCCTCGGTGTTTAGAGTTATTGTTCCAAAAGAAATCAAAAACAGCATCAGTCAGTTTATCAATGTTTGAAATATATAATGATTCTTTCTACGACCTCATGAATGAAGGAAAAAAATGTGAAGTTAAAGCTGATATAAGTGGAGCTGTTATTTTTAGTGGACTACTAGAAATTAGTGTCCGACAATGGGAAGAAGCATTAACTCATACAATTAATGGGTATGCATTCAGAAAAACTAGTTCAACAAAGATGAATTCACAATCTTCTCGGTCTCATTGTATTACAATAATTAGGGTTGGAAAAGGAACGTTGGTTTTTGTTGACCTAGCTGGTTCAGAACGTATTGAACGATCAGGTGTAATTGGGACTGGGAAATTAGAAGCAGGAAATATTAATAAAACTTTAACTGCATTAGGAAGGGTAATTAGAAGTCTAGTTGCAAAAGAACAACACATCCCATTCAGAGATTGTAAATTAACAAGTATTTTAAAAAATTCAATGCTTCAGAGTGAAAGGATCTGTTTTATTGCAACAATTTCTAGTAGTATTTCTAATGCAGTAGAGACATGGGGAACTTTAAATTTTGCAAGAAACACTAAGAACATTAAAATGAAAATTCGTCCAATAGAGTTAGAATTATCTGTTGATCAATTGAAAATAGAAAATGAAAAATTAAAGTTAGAGAATGAAGCATTGAAAACAGAAAGAGACAATCTTAAACGAAAGGTTCTTCCAGATTCAGAGAATTTTGAATATAAACGAATGCAGGCTGATGTTAAAGCTTACAAAGAGTTAATTCGAAATAATCCATCTGTAGCTGCTCTTCAAGGAGAGAAAACAGTATTAGAAGAAAGGTTACGGGAGGCAAAAGAAAGAATTGATGAATTAGTAAGAAGCAATGAAAATTTAACGCGTTTAAAAGAACAACTAGAATTAATAAACCAAAATTATTTAGAACAATTAAATGAAAAAGAAGCAGAAGTAGTTGATTTGGAAGAAGTTGCTAGAAGTGTTCAACATCGTTTAAGTACTTCTTATTTTGACTTAAAAAAATGAACTATAAAGAAGAATTTTAATTTTTTAATCGATTGTGTTTGAATAAATGAGTTTTTGGTTTTAATAAATCAAAAAAAAAAAATAAATAGAAATGAAAGATATAAATTAATAAATTTATTTTGTTAAAGTGTGCTTCAAACAGAAAGGACAAATTAATTTTCCTTTATTATCATTTGTTTTAAAATGGTGATAAAGGTCAATTAACTCTTTTACTACTTTATTTGTTGAATATTTTAATTGAAACTCTTTAATTATTTCTTCTAAAGTTTCTAAATCAAAAGAATGTTGTTTTGGACACCACACAACAAAATGTTCATGTTCTCCTAATAGCTTGACAGTTGTTTGAACGGAAAAATCTATAGATTTATTTAGTGAAGATAAAAGTTGTAATTGAAGTACTTTGCCATCTTCAAGAATAGTATTTTTATTTCTATATTTAATTTGTTCAAATTTTGAAAGAATTGATGGTTCTATTTTATATAATAGTGGTTCATATGCTGGGTCGGTTGGCTCTTTAAAAGTAACATCTAAAAAATATTTTACCACAAAAGAAGAATTTGCTTTAAATTGATCTTTTAGAATTTGATTGAACACCTTAGAACTAATATCTAATTCTACAGACAAACGAAGGAATTTATCAAAAAGATCAATTTGGTATTCTTTATTTTCTATCTCTAATGAAAGTTTCATAACTAACTGCAGAACATCCTCTTTACTTGGCAACACTTCCATGTGTTTTAGAAGAAGTTCAATTGCTAAATGGTGTTGTTTATACATCACTAAACAAACAGCACAGGCAAAGTAATATTCTTTAAGAATTAAATATTCATAAACTTCATTGAAATTTGCTTTTGTTTTACTAAACAAAGAATCAAAAAATGAATAACATTTATCATAGTCATTATTTAAATGGTTGATATTTTGTTTAATAATTATAATACTTCTAATATTTTTTAATATATCTTCTATTCCATCATTTCCAAGACAAATACAATTATACATCATTCCTGGTTCAACTATTTGAAGACAATCAGATAAATCACTTTCATTCAATGAATCAATGATATTTCTTAATGAAGTAACAAGAATAAATTTTGGTTCTTTCTGTAATGCTTTTTTTAATAATTGAAATTGGTCATGAATAGAAAGTGAAGTTAATAATTGTGGTGTTGAACAAATTGGAATAGAAATTTTAACATCTCTTTGTACTGCTTCATTAATCCAATCAAATGTAGGTTTTATTAATAAAGAATGAATATAACTACAATATAATTCAACTGCATATCTATCACTTTTTTTTAGAATATATGAAATATATCTTTTATCCTTATATAGTTTAGTAACTGCTTGTTTAAAATTAATGTGTTGATTATTTAAAATATATTCAATGAAAGTAGTATCTATATGTTCATTAAACTTATATGCTTTTGCAATGAATATATTTAATAAATCACTTGAAATGTTTGGATTACCATCTGCCAATGGAAGAAGTATATTTGTTAATTTGTCCCAATATTCTATAGTTGTATTTTCCTTCACTAATCTAATGAATAAATTTTTATATAATTTTGGATGATGTTCAATTAAATAATATGCTTTTTCAATAGGAAGTTTATTTGATAAATAGATGAAGAAAGATGTTGGAATAGAAAATGATTTGATTATTGGAATTAAATCTTTCCATCGTTCAACTGGACGTCTCAAAAATTCTGTTTCTAATATTTCATTAAGAGACATCATTGGGTCAATTCTATAAACAGAATATTTTGTACAAATAAATATTCCATCTAAATATTTTAATGTTTCTAAACCATTGTATTTAATATGACTTGATATAGACTTATTTGGATAAATTCCAATAACATATTCATACTATATACCATTAAATAAAATATTTTATTATATAATAATAAAGATAAACAAACAGGTATTTCAATTGTTTGAATAAGTAATGGGTTATGTGAAATAAATGAATAAGTTGAATAGATTTCTACGTTTAATACTTTACATCTACTAATAACTTTTATTACTAATAAAATAATTGTTTCATTTGTATGGAATATACCAACAATATCATTTTTAATACCTTTAAGGTCAAAAGTGTATGAGTGAACATAACGGTCTGTGTCAATTGTAAAAGTATCAATTTCATTGTTTTCTTTAGAATAACAAATAATTTCATTTTCATTCATTGAAACTAAATCAAACACTCCAATTGCCACTGGAATAAAAGTTGAATTTACTTCAAAAATACTTTTATTTTGTTTTTGGAGTAATAACAATGTAATTTCTTGTTGTTTATCATGTTCAGAAATGATTATCAACTGATACCCAATTGTAGTTTTGACTACTTTTAATGAAGAAATTCTTGAAGCTACAATTCTAATTGTTTTAACTACCCCTCCTTCTTTTAAATCAACAAATGATATAAACCCAGTTGTTTGTCCAATAATTATATACTCTCCATAGATTGAATTCCAGTAAGTTATACATGAAGCATCATTAATTGGTGGTCTAATTTGTAGTACTTTATCTTCATTTATAATTTGATTTTCATCAAATAAAAATAACGGATTATTATTGCTAGTAACAGTAAGGTGTAATGTTTTGAATGAGCCAAACCGTCTTGATATATTTAAATTTCCTTTATCTTCATTTTCATTGGTTAGTTCATAAAATGTGGTATTTCGAGTTTGTGTTCTTTCTAAAAATGTTCTATGAAATGAAGTAAAATAACTCTCTAATATGTCACTTTTCATAGCTGTAGAGTGAATCAATTGTAAAGAGAAAAATGGGATTTGAATATTATTCATATTATGTCCCAGTTTGTAAAAAAATTAAAGTTCATTAAATTCTATAAATTTCTTTTCCTTCCACAATACTTTTTATAACTTTATAATATAATTTATTATAAATTTACTATTATTTTTAACAAAATTTTATTTTATCTTTCTTAAACAAATAAAAAACAACAACAATAAACCGTTTTGAATTAAATTGTTTTAAATGCCACAAACTCCAATCTTCTTGCAAGCAGATGCAACTTTAAATTTAACTGGGTCAAACACTTTAACAGCAACTTCAGTTAATCTCATAGCAACATCAATACATCTAGCTTGGTTTTCTGGTAATTCTTTATTGCATCTATGATGAAGTCTTTCTAAAATTATACGATCTTCTTCCCTATTTCTTAATGAAACTTTGATTATTCTTCCAAGACTATGGCAATATCTGCAATTAATAATTCCTCCAGTACAAACAACTTTTGGTTTGACTGCATCTTGTAAGAATTTACGTGTTCTAATAGCTTCTTTCATTCTATGTGCATCTTCAAGACTTCTTTTTTCTAAACTTTCTACTTCTTTATCTAATCTATTTAATTTTCTTTCAGCTCTTTGTTGTTTATGTGGAATTAATTCATATAAAGCAGCTCGTAATGTTTCTGGTCTTTTAGCAATTAATTCAGCTTTTCTCTTCTTGTCTGATTCCATTCTCTTTTTCAATTGAATGAGATATTCTTTGTTCAATGCCAAATACTTCTTCATAATAATTGTTCTTTGATTTTCTAAGACGTTGATTTTCTTTTGGACATTTCTCTTAATCTTTTCAAGTGCAGCAACAACACCTCTAGCAATTACTTTTTCATTATCTGCAAGGAATGGAAGTCTTTGTTCTGCAACAGCAATTTTCTTCTCTAAACGAGTTAATTGGTGTCTAACATGTTTCAAAAGATGTTCATTCTTAATATATACTTTCTTCTGTTTATTGAATCGTTTTTTAATAATTCTGAATGATCGTGCCTC